GAGAGCAGAGAGTTCACTATAATATTGTTGAAATGGATCTAAGCCTGTCAAGTACTGCTAAAAGTCTTATAAGCAACGTATAAATAATTTTAGATTCCTCCAGCGAAAGCGAAGGCTCGGGTGTAGAATCTGGAGACATTAAAAAATGTGAAATTAAAGCTCAATTGAATCGGTGAAAATCCTCTCGATTGGTGGAAAACTAAGCTAAAATACGACAAATTGACAAATCTGGCCCGCAAATATTTGAGCGCTCCACTCGCCAGCGTTCCAAGTGAGCAATTGTTCAGTGCAGCCGGCCTCACAGCAGTGTTACAGTTGTGCGACATAAGTGTTATACCGTTGACAGATGGAAAGAGTTACTTGCATAAATGGGTTCTATTTGCATAAACTCGTGCATATTCCTCTTTCAAGCGCGCATAAGCACTTGTACAAATGCGCGAAATTTTCGTGCATATATACTGAATTTTCCGATTTCAATATGGCAATGCTACCACTTTTGACAGCAGTTTACCATTGTGAATGAGCCCAGTTGTTTATTGCTGCTGTCAAAAAGATAGTCGATGAAATACAAAGCAAACGAAAAGTAAATAAAAGTTAGTATTATTAATTCATTTTATGCAAAATGAAACGAAACCACACAACCGAAAAACCGAGCAATGTGGAGTGGGTGCGAGGAAAAGGTGCTCCTGGAACTGTGGGCCGAACGAGCTGCGAATCTGCGGCGTGCCAAAAGAAATGGCCATATTTTCGCCGAAATATCAATTGAACTGGCTGGAAAATTCAGTGCACAGGACGTGCACGTGAAAATTAGGAACATGACGCAGAAATAAAGGTATATTTTACTAACAATACATTGTTGAGCAACTTATATATTTATTTCAAAAATTTGCAGAGAAGAGAAGAAGAAAATGGGACCGTCAGGGTGGTAGTGCTTCCCCGTGGAAGCACTACATGGCTTTGCACCAAATAATTGAAGGAACTGCAGTCAACAACGCAGAAATATACGAGTCAGTTTCGATGGTATGTACTTTCAGTGCAGTTTTATTTCAATTTTTTTCACAAATGTATGTATGTATATCAAATTTTTTAGGACATATCATCCGTGGAATGCTCCCAGCCTCTATTGGCAGAACCAGCAATATTGCCGTCACGGCCAACAGCAGTAGCAACAACGCCAGTACCAGCACCATCACCGTCACCGTCAACATCGGGGCTACCAGCTTCATCGCCACCACTGCCAGCTGCTATGCCAGTACTGTCGCCACCTTCCCAAACAGCACCATCTTCGCCATCGCCACTTCCACAGATGTGTCTTCTTGACACATCAGCTTCGTGTTCTGGTAGAAAGAGGAATTTTTCGGGAGAGGTGGTGAAAATCATGCTGGAACA